TGTCCTCCTGTAATAGGACCTGTCTTCTTTAAACTCGAATTCTCCATAGTCATCTTCTTTGTCAAATCTTCTTGATATTTCTTGGTAGCGTTGGCTCAATTCTGGTTTGCCTCTTTCTTGTTGTATTGAGTAGTGTTCCTGCCTTCCATTGGCATCAGCACTTTCTGCTGGTCCTGGCCTTTGAAAGATTGATTTTTTGGGTGGTTGATCTCCTTGTGGCTCCCATGGAACTTCCTCGCCGGGTTATTTTTCTGGTCGCCCGACTTCTTTCTTCTGGCCTTCCTTTGCCTTTCCGTTATTCGTGAGGGTGTGCAATTCTTTTGTTAATTCTTCAATTCTTTCCCTTTTTGTACTTTTTGCGGCTTCTCTTTCCGCCTTCTTTCTGTTGTATTCCGTTAGTTCCGCCTTATATTTATTCCAGATTTGCTTCCTTTGTTTAGCCTTGTTCCTTCCTCCAGCCTTCAATTTATTCTTCTTTAGTCTTGCTAGCCTTTGCTCATCATTTTCGTCGCTGTCGCTTTTCTCATCTGGCGAGATGTTGCCTTCTGATTCGTCTGAAGATTTTATATCTGGTATCTATGGTGGTTCCAGAGGTTATTCTAAGTGCTCCGCCATGTATACAGTGTACCTCTTCTGAGCTCTTCTTGTATGGTATTTCATCCTTTGTTTGGTTGAGCTGTCGGTTGTTTCTGAGCTGGATCCGAGTTCTTTCCCCTCTTGATATGGTAGTTCTTCAATGTATTTGCTGGATTGAGCTTCTTCTGAGGTGAAAGAACCCGGCCAGTGTACCACACAGTCTTGTGGGGTCACGGTCATGATCATTCCTTCTTGTGCTCCCCCCAGGAGTATTTTTCTTGCTGAGTCCATCTTGTCTTGGGTAAAGTGTTGATAGATTGATGCCGTGTTGCACAGTCCATATATCCCCGAGCTCTTCTTCAGGGTGTGTGGACGAAAACAGCACGGTTTGTATTCCTTCACGATAGTTGTTGTGTCTTTGAGTTCGATCAGGTGTGGCTCCTTTGTTTTGAAAATTGCATCCAGATTGGGGTTGTGCTCCATCTCTTTATCCGAGTTGGAGTCATGCTCCATCTTCTTGTCCGAGTCAGAATTGTGCTCCATCTTCTTGTCTAAGTCAGAATTGCGCTTCATCTCCTTGTCCGAGTCGGAGTCGTACTCCATCTCCTTCTCAGAATCAGTTTCGTATCCGCTTTCTTCTCCTTTTTGAGTTGGATTTGAAGTCGAAAGTTTCATCATTTTTTTGGCGAGTTCTTGCTCGACGAGATTGTTCTTGTCGTCGAATTCTTTTTCTTCTCGGAGACGGGTACGCAGCTTGCCGTCGCCGCCTGCCTCGCAGATCCAGGATCCGAAGACGAAGGTTGTTCCCGCTGAATAAGTCATCTTGAGGTCGAGGTCCGTCGAGCTCTCGAGAAAAAATTCGTCGAAAGCCCCTACCTGGCGCGCCAGCTGTCGATGTTTTATCATCGATAGCCTGTCACGGGGGTACCCGAGACAGTTGTTCGGGCTTCGGTGAATAGTGGAACTCGGCGGTTACGCAAAGAGACTCACGATTTATACTGGTTTAGGCCCTTGACTTGGTCGAGTAATAACCTTACGTCCAGTTCGGCGTCAGCCTGTTTGCGACGTATTGCTTTGAGTATTGGGTATGTTCAGTTGTTTACAAGGGATATCCTCACTAGCCCTTTATAGTCTAGGTGCTGAGAGGAGTTGTTTGTATTCTACTCAGATACAAGGTCAGAGTCCTAAGCTATGCTTCGGGCGCCTTTCCTTGTATAGTCCGAATTGGAGTTTTGGTCTTGCACGTTGCTTTGCTCCGTGTTCTTCTTGGCGATTGGGCTGTGGGCCTTGTTACCCAGGTCCACTTCCCTATAGTACGGTCTATGGGGGGCCCGTAGGGTTCCCCATCGACACCCCGCCCCCGCCCCCGCCCCTCGACCCCGCCCACTCTAACCACATCAGATCACCGCCGAGCACCGCCACGACACCCCCCGCCAACCCCGCCCAACCGGTTATCCCCCACCACCCGCTCGGCGGCGCCCCTGTCGCCTCGCTCGCCGCCCTTCAACCCGCCACCACCGCCGTGTCGCGGTCACTGCCCCCCAAAACCTCTTTCTAGAGTTGTCGGTGATGCCGGAACCCTAACCCTGGAACCCTAGCTAGCGCCAACGTGGGCGGATGGGCTGGCCCGCGTCGCCCGCTCCACGTGGAGCGCGACCGGTCGTCTGTTTGAGCTTGCGTTTTTACAAGGGGATTTACAATTGTTGAGTTTAGAAAATGGCAACATATTTTTAGAGCCCAACTATTAAACTCTGAGTCTGACGGCCCAAAACATGTACTAGTCCCATCATGATCTTACTATCTTTGTTTGAGAAACAAATATAGGAAACTTTTTATTTACAAGGTTTATGTTGCAATGGGAGAAAAAAATTGCCATTAGCTAACATATCTCGGGTTCACCACCAAGTTGGCAAGGGAGCCGGAGTTGTAGACTATTCCGGTGTAGTTAGTGGGGTATATGTTAGCAAGCTAGCTACATCACGAGTGAAAATTGAGTTCACTAAGAATTGTTAAAAAATATATCATTGGGAGTTTTGGACCACATATTGTTTATTCTTCGATTGATGCTCTTTCCAAGCAAAGTCTCACAACATTAAGCATCACAAAAACTTATGAGTGCAGGGAATGGCAGTAGCAATCGAATTCTGGTGGGAATCATCAACTTTGTTCGTTCAAAAAAAGAATCATCAATTTTATAATGTTTTATTAAAGGCTCATGCTTTTTTGTTGATCCTTTTATGGTTATGTCACCAATGATACGTGGATTTGGGAACTGGTTTGTTCTCTCTACGAAGAGATTCAAGCAATCCATCTAACCTTAGGAAGCCAATGAGTGGGATCACATTGGTAGCCTAGCCTGGTCTGATTTCTCAAAAGCAGTCATGATTGGTCTTGTACCTTACATCGATATTGTACTATGCCAAAAGGTCCTATCTCAATCGATCTAGAAAGAAGAACCGGAAGATCCACCAAAAAAGACGGAACTACGGGTGAGAGAAGGAACTATGATAAATTTTACTGGAGGCAGGGGCGGATCCAGCAGTGGGGCCGGGGGGGAGGGGGGCTCAAGCCCCCCCTACCCATACCGAATCAGTGCAAATTACTGTAGAGCCCCTATGAATTTTTAGGCAAAGTTCTATAGTATAGGGGGCTGAGACTTAAGATCGAGCAACAGTGTTGTTCATTCCCCCTAAAATATTTCCTGGATCCGCCGCTGACTGGAGGTGCGCCTTCTTCCCTTCCGGCAAACATAAAAGAGAGATACGAAGGAGCCAGTGAAGTCCCCAAATCCAGGCTTCACCGGCTTCACCATCTTTCCAGTGTATTTTGGACTGAAGAGAGAAAATATCTTTTTCTGTAGTGCCGCACAGTGAGTCAGTGACACTACTACAGTGCGTGTCATAAGAAGTTGAAGCTGGAGGAGCCATTGCCAATGAGGGCCTTTGTAGTCCACAATTTGTTTTCTTTTGGTGCAGCCTTTTATGAGAAGTCTAGAGTAGTATTTTCCTGTTTCGTATTTATTTTCCCTTCCCATATCCTCTATCGTTCATTTTTTAAGCTTTCCATATGGATATTTTTATTATTTCTTTAATAACTAATGTGCAGTTCTCACGCACAAGAAAAACAACTTCAACCAATCGACATTTCTAGAGAAAGTATATAAATTTAAGGGGTAATGATGCAATTGGCCTTGTTTCGATGGACTGATGACTGATACAAATAAGAAAACAGGAAAAAAAACCATTGAGTCCAGATATAGTAATTGATCATGATATATATCTATGTACAAACTGGTACTTCCACAAACCGTAAAAGGGATCATTAAAGAACTCAGCTGGAGACACGGGAGAGTAAATTATCACAATGTCCACTTAATGATCATGACTAAGGGCCTGTTTGGTTCGGCCCACTAAAGCTTAGTGGCCTCTAAAGTTTAGTGACCCCTCTAAAATTTAGTGACCCTTGTTTGGTTCCACCTACTAAAGCAGCTGTCCCATGTACACTTTAGTCACTTTTAACTATCCCTTGGTGACTAAAAGCTACTAAACTTTAGTGACCCCTAAACTTTAATGGGGTGTTTGGCATTTTAGTGACTAAAGTTTAGTCACTAAACTTTAGGAGGAATAAACCAAACAGGCCCTAACTCTTCCATTGAGGAAAAATAATTTAGTCATCAAATCCACGAGAAGCTAACAGCAGCAGGATACATGTTATGGGATCAATCATTGCATCTTCATCGCTGTGATTGTCTACCCTTAGAAAGATCTAGAAAGATAAAACCATGATATAGCTCAAATCACAGATACTTAATACATGTACATGTGATTGAGTATAAGAATGGCTCGGTGCTTGTGCATCAGATTTACCTCAAAGTTGAGCGCATATCACTAATGTGCTGTTTGGTTGCAGCACTGTAACCCAAATGTAAACAAATTAAAGCTGCTAATGTTACCGCCACACATACCATTTGAATTGATTTTGTTTCCATTTACGTTATTGAGAAACAAACCAAACAGCACGTAAGTTCATATATATCCCGCTAGTTCAAGAGTAATTGTTCATAACAGCTTGGACCAATCAGAAAAATGGTCAATTTTGTTGATATGAGATCCATGCTCTTAGTTCCATATTTTTGTTTACTTGAGAGCAGATATCCCCTTAAAATTTATTAACTTGGTTCTTATGAAGGTGAGTTCTTCTAATTTGACAAATCCATATATGTGCTATGAGGTACATGCACATGTTAAAAAAAGGGCACAAAGGGCACCTGGAGTGTAGAAGGTCATGTAAGGTATGATCCGGCAGTAGGCCCGCATTTTACCAACTTTCTTCACCTTCTTGGACTTGAGATCAAGTGTGAAGACTCCTGCATCTATTCGAATGAAAATAGTATATGTGCCTTCCACCCAGCCAATCACTTCATGCTAGTACCATGGGTTACCTATTGGGAGCAGTATCTCAAGCTCCTTAAACTTAAACACCGTGTGTTGTGCCCAGCGACCATTGCCATTGTTAGAATCGGCTTGCCACGACCACATGTAGATGCAATTGTCCAATGCAGCGACAAACCCCAATCCTCCATCATCTAGCTCCATGGCGACGACCCTCCTCCCACCTGGGGACGAGATCACGGAAAGCTCGTGTCTGCCCAAGTCATACTTAGGCATGCCTACACCATCCTCAAGGCTGAAGTGGAGGGCATTTCCGATAAGAAGAGTGGGTTTCAACTCAACATAGTGATTAACATCAATGGAGATCAAGGTGCTCCACTCCCTGGTCTCCGAAGAATACATGGCCGCCCATTTCTTATGCTGGTTGTTTACAAGGCTTGTCCAAGAGTTTTCATTTTCGGAAATTAAAATTTATCAGGATAAAAAGGATAAACAGGATATATCGGAAATATCGAACCAAATTCAAATAAAATTTAATTTGAATTTAAGTAAATTTAAATAAATTTTAAAAAAAATTGTATGAAAAAATAGATATTTTCTTATCGGCACCTATGGATAAAAAGGATATATCGGAAATATGAGGAGATTTCGGCCGAAAAAGGAAACCATGTCCAACAGTAGACAAAAAGAACACACCAGCATGGCAGTCGAGGTGGTCGCAACCGTCCACCTCACACAGCACAGCCCCGGCGTAGCAGGTGTGTGAGTAGTTGGGCACGCTCAGTTTCTTCTGGTTGCCGGTGATCGGGTCCCACAAGCTGGCCGCTGGCCTCGATCAGCACGCGTCCGTGGCGACAGTCGTGCGCCCAGAAGATGCTGCAGTCGAGCGCCGGCAGCAGGAACAAGGGGGAAGCTGCGGTGGTGGAGACGAATCCGGAGATCGGGCCTGGGTTTCTGTGGTAGGGGTTGTGGAAGTAGTCGAGGAGGGGCGGCTCTCGGTGGAGCATGCGGTAGCGGCGGAGGAAGCCTGGGTCCGAGAGGATGCGGCGCCAGAGCTTGCACACGACTCACCCTGGGCATTCGGTCAGACCGAACCGATCGGTTCGGTTTCTCGGTCATTCGGTCAGTTCGGTCATCAGAAACCTGGGACCGATCGGTCTTTGCAAAAAACGAAGACCGAGGAAGTTCGGTCTCGGTTAGTTCGGTTCGGTCTCGGTCACGACCGAACTAACCGGACTTGAGTAGCAGCCACAAACAATAGCAGAATCTATAGCAATTTTCAACAGCATGCTTGCTATTTGAAGGCAAAAAAATAACAACACAATATATAAAACAAACCACACATTATTATGACAAGTTCTAGCACACAACTTTCTCAGTTCTCACAAATCACAATCACACATAATGACATTACGAACGAAGTCTACAGAACTACGGTCAGTTCGGTCACTTCGGTTAACCGACACATATGACCGAACTTCTATCGGTTACTTCGGTTAGTTGGGAGCCAGGACCGAACTTATGACCGAACTTTTCGGTCTCGGTCTTTTCGGTCTCGGTCTTTTCGGTCTCGGTCTCGGTCTTTTCGGTTCGGTCTTCGGTCTTCGATTAATTATGCCCAGAGTTACACACGAGCGCGGTGCGGAAGAGGTGCGTGGGCTCGTCCGGCGGGATGCGGAGGAGGATCTCCTCGACGAGCTCCTCCATCAGCGCAGGAGGCAACCGAGGAGGGCTCGGCGGCGCCATGTTGCGCTGGTTGCGGGGGTTCGACTTCGGATCCGATGCGATGCGAATGCAGTTCGGTTTGGCTTGGGCTGCTAGGTGGGGCCAAGGAACAAGTCGGACGGAAGCAGAACTCTTCTTCTTTCGTGTTTTAGGAATTGGAAATATATTTTTTTAGATGATTGATTCAGAATTAGAAGTTGGAATATGGGGGTTGCAAATCACATAACCAGTTCAGTTTCTGTAAAGTTCATGGACAATTGTTTTTGATTCAAAGGGGTTGCAAAATCTATACCCCATTGTGATTGACAAGTGGGATGTAAAAAGTAAAATCTGGAAACAAATTCGTCGGCGTTGGCACCTGGCAGAGGCAAAAGGTTGACAGGCATCTGACTGAAATTACAGTCCGAGCTCAGTCAGAAACAAATGTAAGCGGATTGAAGCTCAAAACTCTCGCCTTGGATCTTTGACCCCAATTTGACGTTTTGTAAGCTGACGCTGATCAAAACTCAAATAAAGCAAACATGGGACAGCAGCTGAAACTAACACTGTCCAATGTTCAGTGCTCACGCCATGCCACGGAGTAGTATATGACAACCTCTTGCCGACATGAAAGATACACTCTGCATTATTAGTAAGGGGCAACCGACAACATGTGATGCACAGTTTTAATACAATCTTCTGGCCAAAGAATCAGGATCAATTCAACAACATCCACAGTTTTAATATGTGATGCAAGTGGGTGCCCAATGGCTTATTTTGAGTCTCTTGGTTCATTTTCGTTCAACTATTCTTGCTTTGAAATCGAGAGTACAGTTCATTTGGATGAATCATGGTTCATAACCTAGAAAAAGATACCATGCATAGAACTCATAACCAACTCCAACACAATGCAACTTACCGTTTTGGTGAGCCACGTTACTAGTAACCCATCTTGGGATGTGAGCTTCAACTATGCCTGAAATGAATCTTTTTTACAAGAAAGTCATATTTATCAGTTTAACCAATGCATCGTCATGGTCCTTAGCAAGTCAAATAAAGCACATAACAAAAAATTTAGGGCCACAGTCATGAAAGTATTGTGAGAAGAGATATACTAAAGCCCCATTTGGCACGGCTCATCCAAAACGGCTTCACCGGTGAAGCCAAAGCCGGTGAAGCCACAAAAAACTGGCTTTTTCCGGCTTCTAGTTCATTTTAACCCCGGCTTACAAAACGGCTTCATGCTACAGTGCCTCGATTTGCGCAAAATAGATGAAGCCGAAGCCGGCATAAGTCGTGCCAAAGAGGCCCTAAATGATCATTGATATCTATGTACAAATTGGTACGACTTCCATGAACCGTAAAAGGATCCATACTTAAACTATGCAACTAGAGACACGGGAGATTAAATGATCACTATGTCCAACTTGATGATCATGACTAAATCTTCAACTGACGAATACAATTTATTTAGTCATCAAATCCTCGAGAAGCCAACAACAGCATGATTCATGCTAATGGATAAATCATTGCATCTTCATCACAGTGACAGTCCGCCCTTAGCAAGATCTATGGAAGATAAAAACCATGCAATACCTCAGTTTCACACATACTTAATATATGCACACATGTTTTGGTTTAAAAAAGCACAAAGGCTTAATACCTTGAGTGTAGAAGCTCATGTATGGTATGACCCGGTAGTAATCCCCTTTTTTACCAATTTTCTTCACCTCCTTGGACTTGAGATCAAGGGCTTGTTCGCCTGGCTGGCAGCCGGCTGGTTGGCTGGCCAGCCCACTCACGCGGGCACTGTTCATGTGAACAGTGTCTTTCAGGCAGGACAATATTTTTTTCTCACAACAATCCAGCGGGAACAGTGTTTTAGCTTATTCAACCAGCCTGCCGAACAAGCCCCCAAGTGTAAAGAGTCCCGCATATGCGCTGACGATTATGGTATCTGTGCCTTCCACGAAGCCAACCACTCGATAAAAGAAGTTTGGGTTACCTTTTGTGAGTAGTGTCTCGAGCTGCATGACCATGTGTTCTGTCCGCTTCACTACGTGAAAAACGGTTTGTAGCAACGGGACGAATTTTTTGTAGGGGCGGTTGGTGATGGAGCTGCCCCTACAGTGGCGTGCTCGGGAGCCCAGACAACAGCCGCCCCTACAAATGGAACAGCAAGGGCGGCTGCGGCTCACTCACCAGCCACCCCTGGAGTTGCTATTTGTAGGGGCGGCTGGTGATTGAGCCGCCCCTACAAATGCCCGCGTATAAATACCTCTGATTTGTAGGGGCGGCTCAATCACCAGCCGCCCCTACAAATGACCCATATATAAGACCCACATATAAAACAACTGCAGCACATTTTTCCTCCTCAGGTCACTCACTTCAACCCGTGAAACAAAGGTGGGGAGGCCTTGGGCACCTCCCAAAAATTGCTCTACTAAGGGGGAAAGGTTTTGGTCTTAAATCCTTTGGTGAGGAGGTTGTAGAAGGTAAGAAAATGCTATTCCACACTTTTTTTGAGTTTTAATGGTTGGTTAGTGAGTAATTAGAGTTTTGTTTTTCTCTCTCTTCTATGGTGCTTGAGCTACTTATGAAGCAAATTAGACCCAAGTTTTAAATGTATTAGGGTAAATTAGGGAGGGAAACTAGATCATACCCTTATTTGGTCCATGTTTCTTTATTTTAGTGAATAATTAGTTAGTTTTATGCATGTTTCATGTGCATGTAGATCTAGATCTAGGGTTTGATTTTTTTTATTAATTTCGTTTTTGTAAATTTATGTTTGATAAAATTGGACTAGGGTTTGTATGAAAGATATTGGGTAAAATATAATTGTTGCTAATTGTTGTCTTTGGAATTGTTTATTGTAATCAATAAATATGTATTTTAATTATTTTAATTTTCCTCTACCAAGGTGTGTTTGTATCCTTCATGTAATTATATTAGATTTATATTTGTATATATCTGAAGTATATACAATTATTCTCAAGTAATTAATAATTTGATTCATTTTTATATATATCTGAATAAGTAGTCCTTTAATGTTTATTTTATTGTTGTTGTAAAAGATGGAGTACAGGAACTCTTGGATGTATGGTTCGTTAAGGTTCAAAGCAGGTTTCCGTGAAGAGGTGGATAAATTTATTGAAGCCGCAAAGAAGCATGCAACGACATTGAAAGAGAATAAGGATACAATTATTTGTCCCCGTAAAGATTGCAAGAACCGTATGGCATGGATAGATTGACTATCATCAGATCACATTTGATTATGTGAGGATTTATTGAGGACTACACAGTGTGGATTCATCATGGTAAAACGGTTATTGTTAATGACGAGGATGAGGAGGAATACGACGACGAAACCATAGAATCCCTGTTCCAATATTCAGCAGAGCTTGATGCACGAATGGATTTCGAGTTTGGCAATGAACAAGATGATGATGCTGGTGGTTAGGATGATAACGATGAAGGTGGTGCCAATAATGATGGTGGAGCACGTGTCGGGGATGAAGATGATTTGGAGGACATGATTCGAGCCCTTGGACCAGAGATTTTACTAAATAGCCCGAAAGGTCTAGAAATTTTGGAAAGAGTGACAAAAGCATCGAAGGAGACTGTGTATGGTGTTGAAAAGGGCTGTCCGACACATTGGACATTGCTACATTTTGTGCTTGAGCTGCTCATCCTAAAGG